CACTCCTTTAGTTTTTCAAGGGCTAGGGGATGGAGAAGGTCCCTTGGGAGGATAAGACGAAGCATACATGCATGCTAGAAAGACAAAGAGCATCACAGGGAAAAGGAGAGAAGGCAGAGAAAGGGAGGAAACATGACAGAGGCAGAGGAGTCATCGCAAGGTGTCTCAGAGCTGCCAATCACTGTGGTGAGGTGGGTGGCCTGCTCTAATGCGATCTGCAGAGTGATAAACGGAGTGGAATGGAGGATGTATTGCATCCTGCAGCAAACAAATGCACTCCATATGTTAAAGCAGAGTAACCAGATTTAAAGAGACTAATAAGAGACAACCAGGTGGTGCAGGTTATATGAAACATAAGTAAACACAAGCAAGGTGTGGACCTGGACCTGAGTGGTGTCTGTTTCTCCTGGAGGCCATCAGAAGCCAGGCTTCCCCTATTTCTAGACTGGTTTTTATTTTAATAACAGACTTTGTACTGTAGAACAGTCCAGGAGATTCTGTGTGGTCAAACTACAGTGGTGTCAAATTATGTTATGAGCTTATGTCAGGTCCAGTGGTAAATTAACCAATCAGCTTCATACCAGTCAAATCAAAATAGGGTGTCAGCTAAACTGAGATTTAGTTAACACTAAAGTAAGCTAACTCAAAGTTAAGTTCACACAGTTTAAAATGAACTAGTTTATGTTCATTATGACATTTCCTGTCAAATGTTATATTAATTTCTTCAGTTTCGAATCATGAAAGATGTTGACTAAAGATGTTAAGTTTTATAACCAAAAATTCAATTTTGATGTGTTTTATCACTTGAACATCGGGAAAAATCTGCGGTTTTGAAAACCTGGTAACATCTAACATTTGGTGGGTGAAATTCGAATTCTGAATTGGAAGCCAGTGACAGAAGATGACAGAAGCCAGTAGCATAGGCTGCCATGACAGACAGCACTCACTAACAATTGGTAAATCTTGACAACTGTCTGATACTCCCTGAATGTGAGCAATGGTTCGCTGACTCAAGGGTGAACTACATTCATGTTTCTGGCGATGTGCCTTCAAAATAAGCTTATCAGTTTACTGTTCACCAATATATGAGCACATTCAATAAACACGTTCATTTTAAGGACATTCTGGCACAGCACTAACAGAAACATCCTTAGACCAGAAATAACAATAGGAGCAAAAACTGTTGTGTAGCAGCATGACTGGCAATGAAAATCTGAATAGAGTTCACTTTGAAGAAAGTGTACAACTGCCCACAGTCTGGGGGTATTGAAAGACATCAAAAGTTGCCAAGCACTGTAAGGCCAAAGCCAACTTTGTTGCACCCAGCATGCATTTGGGTGCACAGGTAGGAGCATCAATGGCACTACAATCATCTACACACAGTCTTTGATAGCAGTGAACAGTTTACTTGCAAAAGCTCAGGAGATAAACATCCTCTGGGGACGGGCAAAACTGTTTGTCCTTTGTGTAGAAAACATAACTGAGTGGATAAAAACACTTGGATGTTCAGTAAATTTTGTAAACCATTATGTGCTAGATATAATAAAGCTGCGAGGTATTAAAGTTAGCCTAAATATCATGCCAAGGTTCTCAGTGGGATTTAGATCAGGGGAACATGATGCAGGATAGTTCAAAAAAGCAACATTATTCTCCTAGAGGAAGTCTCTTGTCAGGCGAGTTTTGTGAATTGCATCATTGTCCTGTTGAAAAACCCAGTCATAACCACACAGATGAGTGCCCTCAGTCAAGAGGGATGCAATATCTCCACATAGCCAGCACGCATTTAGCATCTCTGCACAACCTGAAGCACCATTGTTTCATAGAGATAAAAGCATCCCAGATCATAATGGAGCCTCTTCCACTGTGCAGTGTGGAAAACGTCTCCAGTGGGATCTGCGCCATTGATCAGTGTCATGCCAAAAATGTTAAAAACCATCAGAGAATAAAGCTTTCTTCCACCTTTTAGCATCCCTGAAATCCCTCATGACAGCACTTTTCAGCCTCTGCCTGAAACGGTTGGTTTTGGCTGCTTTTTCAGAGTCGACAAAGCTTGTGGGTGTTACTTTTTGCACAGCTTTGTCATCATAAAATTACTTTACAGTTATGCTCCTACAAAGGAGGTTCAAGATTAGCTGGTGGCCCTTCATCAAAACTATTAGCAGTTAACCACTGTTTCATGACCATGCTGTTATAATGTCACTTAGTTTGGGCAGTTTCAGAAGCGCCTACAGATAAAACAGCCTCATGTTTCAGTGATTTTTGAAATGCAAATCTAGCTTGCAGTGCCCTTTGTTTACGTAGGATTCATCTGTGAAGGAGTGAGCTCAAACAGTTACACTGAAGTTCCCCTCATTTGATACAACAGCTGTTTTAGAGTGTGGTGAATGTCCAGTAAGAGACCTATAGATAAAAAAAACACAAAAAAAAAAAAAACAGGTATGGGTGTTTATCATGCCTCTGTGTCACACAGGGCCAACTGACTTTGTTGTAGAGCAGTGGTTCTCAACGGGGGGTGGACTATAGACCAATTTACAGCCTACCTCATCAAGAAGCTGTGTGCGCAGTGTGGCAAGTGTCAGTAAAAGTAGCCTAACTCTTTGCCCCAGCCAGTGGATTTCCTCCTCTGGGAGGTCATAGTCTGCGGCTTATATGGTAGGGTGACCGTGCTCTGAATCCCCAAAAAGAGGACAATACTGCGCAAGGCGGAGTTGTGCGCTTGCAGCAAATTTTTAGGGTTCTTTGGGTCAAGTGTTTTATACGCACTTGTAACTCAGTTAAATGCATATTCTGAATTCCCATAAAGACACTCAACTAGGCCTCATGGAGACACTGAAAAATACTTAGACAAAGTTGCATAACAAAATACAATCTAACATCACTCTTCTGGTCCAACAAATCTTAGAAAAACTAAGGTAGTACATTCTTTAAAATAACTCCTCATTTCAATTATTTATGAATATAAATAATACCTAAGAACGTTAATTTGGTAAACAAAAACAAACAAAACAAAAAAAAAAAACAAGAGGTAGCCTATTTTTCAATGTGTAGTTAGGTCATTCCTCAAAGTAATGCCTGTTAGAGCTTTTTGTGCCACAGACAAATACCTCCCACCTTTGCAGACAGTACACTCTGCTTCCCATTTTTCACGACCCCGGTGAAAACACGGATACTTTTTCTGCATTTGTTCTGTAAGGGTGCATTTGTGTTTCGGCATTTCTCCCTCTCCTTTTGCCTGTGTGTGTCTTGTCAGTGGCTTTGCTTAGAACTGAGCAGAGGAGCAAAGCAGTAGAGAGCATTGATGTACTGCACTGTTTTATAACGAATGAATACATGTTCCGGGTTTCGGCGAGGCACTCCACCTCTCAGAGTGTGTTTGCAAATGAACCTTGAATGTGTATGATAAATACAATGGTATGTGAAGCGTAGATAAAGTATACGCTACACAAACTCATACAAAACCCTGGACATTTGAAAGATTTTATAAACCCCCCGGACAGGCCGGACAGCCTCCCAAAAGAGGACATGTCCAGGTAAAAGAGGATGTATGGTCACCCTATTATATGGTAATGTGGCTGTCTTTATAGAGACAACTCGTTATCGCACAATTGCATGCGAATTTACAGGTTCTTGGGAGTCCTCGCGATTCCGGCTGCCTGAAATTCACCTGACAAACACAATCGGTAGGAATTGGCGCCTTTAGGCATGCGGTGGAACTTTGGCTACAATTTTAAAAATGTGGTACCCCAATTTTGAAGATGTCTGAGCTGCCACACATAGGGATAGAATGACATATTTAACTATTTTATTTCTATAGTGTTTCATGTGCAACAGTGTGAGGAACACACTGCACCACACAGAGACTCTTTTTATCAGGAGTCCTGGCTCTCAAAACTGGTAATATTGCAAAAAGATGATCATTCAAATGATGCGCTTGCACCTAGAGGTTGCTGCAAGTCTGGTCTCTCTGTATTAAATGTAATTTCAGTCATTTTTAGCTAGATTTTTTTCATATTTTTGTTGTCTTTTTGTTGGCTGCTGATGGATACTTCAACTTGGCAAAGAGTTTACTCAAGAAAAGAGCTCCTTTTGTTGAGAAAAAGCAAATCTGGACAACAACAAACAATTCCAGAGGACATCAGGAGGTGTTATAGTGGTTGCCGTGCTGGTGCAAAGGTGAAGGCAAGAATTTGAAAGAATTTGAAGTTGCTTACACTGTCTCCAGTCTATTCATATGTCCCTCCTCAAGCTGTGTTGGCAACAGGGTGGCCAGACAGCATCCGGTGCATCCTCACATAACAAAGATTTCAGAGTTTTTCTTTTGGAGTCATTTCTTTTTATTGAAAGTATTAAGAAAATGGAAACGGAATAAAATTCTGAGGTCAACAACATACAGAAAACTGACAAAATGCTAAATAAAATAGGCACCACTGTATAAACTAAACTATAAAATGTTTTAAAGAGATAGACAAGAGTAGGCTAACAGAGTCCAAAAAGTTTTAGTTCACATCCTCTGAGGTCTAAAAAAGCCCATCAGTAACCAAAAACATTCTGTGCCAACGGGCACAACTGACTGCCTCCAGCCGGTCTTCCACCTCATCCTCTGGCATCATGCACATTACCTTCTGGTGTCATGGTGTCACCGGCACCCAAGCAGATGTTGTACAGGGCGGTACAAGCGGTGATGACCTGAATTTAAGAAGAATATTTATAAGAACATAGAAGTATATACATTTATAATAAATAAAAAAAGTATAATATAAGTATGATAATGTATAAGTTTTCATGTTTTTATTTATTTAATTAGTTAATTAATTAACTAATTAATATACACTCAAGTATAACAAAAATATAGTGTGCAGTGATGATATACCTGTGGCACGAAGGTGTGGTGGATCGCTTTAAACGATGGCTCGGAAGTGGGTCTTCATCATGCCAAAGGCACGCTTAATAACAGAGCATGCCCTGGCATGACACCCTTTAAAACGCTGGGCTGCCAAACCTCACACCTGCAGCTTGTAGGGAATGATGAGGGGGAGTGGGTGCTGGAGGCACAGGTACCCGCTGTCTGTGAGGATGAAATGCCCTGGAGGAGGATAGACGTTCTGCCTGTACAGTGGGCTGTGCCGGAGTACTCTGGCGTCATGCAAAGACACCGGCCAGCCCACATGAATATCAATAAAATGGCCCTGATGGTCACAACTTGCTTGGATTATAATGGAGGCAAACAGTATCCTGTTTATGTAGCAGTGACCATCAGGACCGCTTGTTGGCTGAATTTGGACATGGCAGCCGTCAATTGCACCGGCAGCTTTGAGAAAAGCACGGTGCCTAGCCAGCCCTGCAAACTCCCGAGTTACAGCCGCCAGGTCGTCAGCGGAGCTCGGGAGGTAGATGACGCTGTGACAAAGGGCCACTACCTCCTCCGTAACTTGGTGGACGATGCAGTAGACAATGGGGCAGGACATCCCAAACACCCTTGAGATCACCCTGTATGATGCCCCACTGGCCAGCCAGAAAAGCAAAACCAGAGTCTCTATTGTGGCACCCCATCCATGCCTCTGCTCCTGATGGAGACGGTTCAGCAGCACTTCCAGGGACTCTCTGCTCAGCCTGAAGTCCTCCCTGGTGTCAGTGTCAGCGCCGGTGAAAAACCACTGGAGGACTGGGACCCCTGTGTTTAACCTGCAGTACAGGGGTCCAGCATGCGTTAGGGAACAGAGCAGGAGAACAAGGGAAGAATGGTCATGGCATGGATGTCACTTGCAATGATTGTGAATTGTGCAGATTAATGTCTCATGTACTTGCTATTCCCCTAACAGCCGATGTTGGCTTCTCAGCTGATGTCAGTAAACAAAATAATAATTTTTGACACCTATGAAGATTTCCAAGACATGCACTGTTGTGAATTAAAGGGGAAATTTATGTGATACACAGGGAGTGACAATGGCACAACTATTGTGTGGCTGACGAATGCCAGATAAAACTAGAAAAGCACTCGGAGAGCGCAGACCTCCGCCAAGCAGCTCATGTCCCCCCTTATATTGGGATTCACACCAAAACCTTTACTGTTAAATGCATGATTTATTATGCAATATTTGTAAGCGTACACTTCCTTGTATCTTCATTAGTTATCTTTCAGCACTGAAAATTCCCACGACACCCTTATTTTTGAGTGTTCTGGATCACAGTATCCAGAATTTTGTCTGGATCAGGATCAACCTTTGACACCTCATAAAACTCATTGAGATCCTTTTATGTAATTTTTTACCAAAGACTCTGGCCATTTTTTTAGAGTTAAATGCAAAAATTCCAAAATTTGCCCTATCTCACAAAGAATGCTTCAAAAAATTCCTGGATCCAGAAGGCGATCCGGATCACCACCAAAATGTAATGGGATCTTCCTGAGGCTGAGATGCACCTCTGGTCAAAATTTCAGGTCAATCCGTTTGTAACTTTCTCCGTAAAGTTGCTAATAGACAAACAAACAAACAAACACGCAAACAAACAAACCAACGCTACCAAAAACATAACGTCATTGGCGGAGGTAATAACAGGATTACTCCTCCACTTGCAGCGTGCAGTTTCAGTAAATAATACAGAAGGCGCCTCCGTCATGGTTTGCTCAGCAGCGCAGCGTCTCCTCTTCTACAAACAAATGTAACATTTGCCACATGCTCAAACACTCCATTGTGTCTTGTTACCTGTGCTTACTAACACCTGCATCTGCTGCCATCCACGGCTTTTATTCAAGGCAGCCGGGACGCGAGCCTGAGGGCAGGGACATTTGGCGGATCAACCAGGAAGGGTAGACCATCCCACTTCAAAAAAGCTGATCCACCTCACCCAGGACACTCAAATCCACAGAACGGCAGTGCGCTCAGCCAAGCGTGCTCAGCTGTTTGCAGTCTGTGTTTCTGGGACATTTATGAGCTGTACAGGGGCTCCACAAGGGACAGTGCTGGCGCTATTCCTGTTCACACTATATACGTCAGACTTCAAATACAGCACTGAGTCCTTCCACATCCAAAAATACTCAGATGACACTGCTATTGCGGAATGTATCAGAAATGGACAAGAAGCTGAATACAGAGATCTATTAACCCTTAGATGCATAAGGGAAGTCAAAAATGACCCCAGCGCCAGCTTTTTTGCAATATCTTTGTAATTTTTAATTTTTATCATTTAATCTTCCATGTATTCCTCAAGTAGGTACTATTTGACATTGGGCCATTTGGATTTGTATCTAACTAACATTTTTTTAAGTTATTGCATTTTTTGTACCAGTACCCCACTTTTCCATACGTGGGGTCAAAAATGACCCCAAACGCTTTCTATGGAATTTCTAAGGTTAACCCTACGAACCTTAGATTTTTATCAGCTGTGACTGTCAGGTATACATTTACTGTTGATCCACACATCTAATCTGAGCAGTCCCACAACCCTGAAGGTTATTTTTACAGAAACATAGCAATACATGTAAATATTATAGTCATTTTTATACCTCGTAAAATATGTGCTGCTAGAAAATATCGACTTATTTTCCACATCCATGGATTATGTGTGAGATTGTTGTGATATCCTCAAACTACTACTTTAATAAAACAGAAGTGATCCACTTCTACAAACACACAAACAGAGTTGTAGAATAAATATTGTAGACCAGATGGTTGGTACCTACACCTGTAAATGGTACAATGTGATTAATATTGCCACCCCGAATGCCCACTCCTTTTCAAAGCTCAGCACCCTGAATTCTATGCAGGTATCACTAACGCCTGGTGGCGCTTTCTTGTAGAGCTCTCACATGAGCTTGTGACACCTTATATTTAGAAGTCAACTGGAAGGTTACCCATGCCTACCAACCTACATCACGACAGCAAAGGAAAGATATGGGATGACTAAAGCTGTAATCCAGCCACAGAGCGTAAACAGACAGGGCCAACAGAAGAGGAAGAAGTGTAAGATGTGCCCAAGAAACCAAGACCAACTGCCAGCAATAGTTGTTGGAAATGCAGTGACCCTGTGTGCAGTCCTTCCAGTACATCTAGAAGAGGATAGGCTACTTTAAAACAGTGAGGAGAGAGCAGGCAGTGTGTGTTTTTATATGTTGTTTTGATGTATGACAAGGAAACACTGAAAGCTGAAGTTTTGATAGCTGTATTGATAGCGAGTTTGTGTTCAAATGAAAGATAAAAAGAAACTAACGTAAAATATATAATCATTCTAGTGTTGAAATCATATTTGGAGGTTGACCTTTTAACCTTTCTCAAAGCCGTTTTGTCCTAAAATGTTAATAAGTGATAAATGAACAAGTCAGACATGAAATGATTTTTTTGTTGACCAAAATATAGTAAAAATCGTCATCTTTATCCAAAATGAAAGACATTTTTTTACAATTTGCAGCTTAAAACGCATTCATTCTAATTGGGGTCATTTTTGACCCTACTCATGGAAAAGTGTAGGTATTGGTCGGCCATGCATCTAAGGGTTAAGAGCCTTCAGTGACTGGAGTCACAAAAACTGCCTCCTCCTCAACACCTCAAAGACAAAGGAGATGGTCATAGACTTCCGCAGATCCAAACCCCCTCTTCAGCCAGTGAACACCTGTGGAGTGGACATCGAAGTGGTGACATCATATAAATACCTAGGTGTACATCTGGATAATAAGTTGGACTGGTCTAAGAATACAGACTTCATCTACAAAAAAGGGCTCTTTTGCCTGATAAAACTCCAATCAATAGACATCTGTAGTAAGATGCTGCAGATGTTTTATCAGTCTGTGTTGGCAAGTGTTCTGTTCTACACTGCAGTCTGCTGGGGAGGAAGCATCAAACACAACGATGCAAGACATCTTAACAAACTGGTGAAAAAGGCTGGCTCTGTGGTAGGACTCAAGCTGGACTCAGTGGAAGATGTGGTGGAGAGATTTACACTGAGGAAGGTGGAAACTGTTCTCAAGAACATGGATCACCCACTCCACAACACCTTAATGAACCAAAGGGCCAATGGTGGTGGACGGCTCCTCTCTCTTCGCTGCAGGACAGAAAGATTCAGAGGATCTTTTGTATCGACAGCCATCAAACTGTACAACTTTTCTGTAACTAGTAGATGACTTTTAGAGATTTGACAAATGAGACGACAGACGATTGAATTTCCCTTCAGGGATTAATAAAGTTCTATTTATTCTATTCTTATTACAATAAATGAAACTTTGTGTTAAATAAACATGGCAGACTATCTGACACTGGCTGCTCAGCTTTCTGGTACTTCCAATAACCAGCAATTTATTTTTAATGCCTCTCCTTGTCATTGCAGTTGTGATATGTTTTACCAAATGTACTGCGTAATCACTTGTGTTGTCACCGTGTATTTATAGTTAGTATAGTATAGTTTATAGTTATTCCATGTAATGATGGCAACAACTGTAATCAAACTATTAGATGTCCACGGATTCCCACCCCTTACATGAAGAGTATTTTACAACCATTCAACTACTGTAGATATAACAGCATTTTTATTCTGCCAAAGAACAAATACACTGAATTAGAATGAAGTTTTCCAATTTTTCTATGGTTGCGTTAAATACTGAGTTTTGGTTAATAAATACTTACTGGCAATAGTCTATTATTTCTTGCTCAGGATATAACTCCAATCACAGTTTGATCTTTGATTGTAAAACACTGCAAAGCTTTTTCTCATACACTTCTGTGTGCTGTGTACCTTTAGCAACAAGACAGACAATGCAGAGACATGAAGGAGAGATGGATGAATAAAAAGGAGCCAGCACTTAATTTTTGCTCCAGGGTGCCCTCGCAGGTAAATCCTTGACCCTAATGTAAAGTTTACTTTTTGTAGGGTGATAGATAATTTCTTGCAGTGTGTCCAACATAATGAAACAGTTTGAATGAATGAATGACTGAATGGTTTTATTTTTGGTCACTGTACTGTTCCTATCTGTGTGTAAGCTACGTGCGTGAACACAGACTCCACAGCAAGCCAAACTCGTTTTCTACGAGCCAGGAAGCGAGCGCCTTGCTCCTTTATTTTCCAGTATAGCAGGTGAAAATCGTGTAAAACTGAAATAAACAAAATACAGACGAAACTTAGGAGCCTGACATTACCGTATTACACAAGCAACAGTCAAGTTAGCCTATAACTAAAGTGACTAGCAAGTATCGCTTAGCTTAGTAGCAAGGAAACGAACGTTAGCAAAGTAACGTGGTCACTAATACACATTCGAGTAAACGTTACCAACTATGCTCATAAAGCTTAACTTCATACAAGTACAAAATGCATATCATTATAACTTACAGACATTGCTGCCATGGGTGTGTGAGCGAAACAAGACTCGGGAAAGAAACATCCGACTGGAACTCATTACAAACAGCAACTAACGTGCATCTTACGTTCTGGTAAGTTCATCATGGACCGGAGGCTCATGGGATCGCTCAGATGTAAACAAAAACTCATGCCAAAATAAAGGCTCACCTTTACAGTACAAAATACTCATCTCTTTTCTTTTGCCATTAACAGAATGTTATCAAAGAATCATTTGTACCAAAAACAATTTGAATACATATTTCCTTTTCTTTTACTTTTAACCTGAGGACAGAACACTCCCCGTCTGGCATAACTAATGCCACTACTCAACTCAACTTTTCTTTATTCAACACACATTTACTTTAAACCCCTTTTTTTCAGTTTGTGCCTTTTTAGTCTCTTTCAAGAAGAAGGATGACGTCCGAGATGGGCCGCAGGTAAGTCTTTGAAGTGCCCTGAGATGCCGTCTGCACCTCGACTTTGCGGACTCGTCCATCGCTGCTCGGAGAGGCCGATGTGACCAAAGCCATTGGCCACTCGTTCCTTGGTGCTTGAGCCTGTTTCAGCAGCACAATGTCTCCAGGTTGTAGGTTGCGCTGAGCTCTGTGCCACTTGTGTCTTGAGTGGAGAGTACTCAAGTACTCAGTTCTCCAACGGCCCCAAAACTCATTCGCCAGCGCTTGTACTTGTTTCCACTGACCTTTCAGGAGATCCTTGCTGGTGAAGTCTCCAGGTGGAGCGTGTAGGCCTGGCTTTTGGGTCAGGAGCATAGCAGGGGACAGCAGAATGGGAGAGGAGGGGTCTGATGAAATGGGAATCAGCGGCCGTGCGTTGATGATTGCTGATATCTCCGCCATCAAAGTACACAGTACCTCGTGCGTCAGGTGAGTATGCTTGTTTTGCAAAAGCATAGAGTCTAGAATTCTGCGTGTGACCCCAATCATACGCTCCCACACTCCCCCCATGTGGGAGGCGTGTGGTGGATTGAACTCCCATGTGCAGTCTTTACTATGGAGATAACTCAGAATTTCAGTCTGCTTTTCCTCAGGACGGTCCATGCCCAGCTCTGCACTGGCGGCTATGAAGTTCGTCCCTCTGTCTGATCTGAGCTGCTTTGCCGGGCCTCTGATGGCAAAGAATCTTCGCAATGCATTAATACAGCTTGTGGCATCCATTGATTCTATAACTTCAATGTGTACCCCCTGGTGTTCATGCACGTGAACAGAATGGCCCACCTTTTGCTCTGCGCTGCACCTCCTCGAGTGCGTCGGGTCATCACTGCCCACGGTCCAAATACGTCCAGCCCTACGTATGTGAAGGGTGGGGGGGTGTCGAGCCGCTCTGGAGGGAGGTCAGCCATTTTCTGTACTTCCAGCTTCCCTCTGAGCTTACGGCATGTCACACAATGATGAAGTGTAGAACTCACCAGTCTCTTGCCACCGACAATCCACAGTCCAGCTGCTCTGATAGCCCCTTCTGTGAACTGCCGCCCCTGGTGTTTCACTTCAGCATGATAGTGTTCTACAAGCAGCTTGGTTACATGGTTATGCTTAGGGAGGATGATTGGGTGTTTTACCTCAGTGTCAAGAGAAGCATGTCTGAGACGGCCTCCGACCCGCAGCAGACCATCACTCATGTAGGGGTCAAGGGTCAAGAGCTGACTCGAGCTAGAGACTTCTATGTTTGCCTGAAGAGCAGCGTATTCATCTGGATATGCATCTCTCTGAACAGTCTCTAGTATGAGCATCTTCGCTGCTGCGCGCTCCTCAGGAGTGCGAGGCCCACTGCACTGATGCCAGCCTTTGCATGTGTGCTGTGGTGTATCTGTTGTGTCTGGTTTGTGCGAACGCACCTGATGTTTCAAGTAGGAAACGGCTCTCAGCAGAGACTTCCATGTGGAAAAGCGCTGGAACCTCTCAGAGGTAAGTCTCTTAGTTTCAAGGTGGGTAGCTAGAGCAGTCACTTGTGGTCTAACTTCCACATCTGTTTCAGGATCTATCAGCTCGAAGTGCTCACGTTTCTCCATCTCCGGAGGCTTGTAGAGGAAGTCGGGCCCTTTAAACCACATCGTGTCCATGAGCTGTGATGCTGCTACAGATCTGGTGGCTAAGTCCGCTGGGTTCTGTGCTGAAGGTACGTAATGCCACTGATCTGGGGACGTTGTCTGGCGTATACGATGCACGCGATTGTGCACGTACACATAGAAGCGCTTTGAATCATTACAGATGTATCCGAGGACCACTTTGCTGTCGCAGTAGAATTTAACAGCGTCTGGCTTGAAGTCCAGTTCGTCTAAAATCAGCTCTGCCATCTCAGTCGCCAGAACAGCTCCACAGAGCTCGAGGCGTGGAATTGTGGGTTCAGGCTGTGGTGACAGCTTAGCCTTTCCCAGCACAAATCCGACCTCACAACGGCCCTCTTCAGTGACAGCCCTCAAGTAGGCTACTGCCCCTATAGCCCAGTTCGAGGCATCAGAAAAAAGGCACAGTTCTGTGTATTTGGCTTTTGAGAGTGACATCTTTACATAACAGCGAGGGACATGGAGGTTACTCAGCTTCTCAAGTGAGGCTTTCCACTCTTCCCATCTGCTCACCTTGTCATCAGGCAGAGGAGTGTCCCAGTCCTGAACTCCGCTGGACAGCTCTCGTAGCAACAGTCTGCCTCTGATGGTCACTGGCGCTGCCAGACCCAGGGGATCAAAGATGCTGTTAATGACTGACAGCACCCCACGCCGGGTGTAAGGCTCGTCGGCGACGGCGACCTTGAAGGTGAACATGTCTGTGCTGAGGTCCCAGCATAGGCCTAAGCTCCTCTGCGCAGGCAGGGTCTCATCATCCAGGCCTAAGTCTTTGATGCCTGTGGCCAGTTCTTCAGGCTCGAAGGCTTTCATCACAGCGACACTGTTTGAGGCGATTTTGTGCAGTTTCAAGTTGGACTCTGCGAGTGATGCACATGTTCGCTTCATTAGGTCAATGGCTGCTGACTCTGTGGGCAGGGAGACTAGCCCGTCGTCCACGTAAAAGTGCCTATCAACAAACTGCTTAGTGTCTGCGCCATACTTAAGCTCACCTCTCTGAGCAGCTCGTCGCAGGCCGTAGATGGCAACCGCCGGGGACGGGCTATTGCCAAAGACATGCACGCGCATGCGATATTCTTGAATTTCCTTTGAGAAGTCATTGTCTTCATGCCACAGGAATCGCAGATAGTCTCTGTGGTCGTGTCGCACCAGGAATCCATAAAACATCTGTTGGATATCAGCAGTGACTGCTATGAGGTCCTTCCTAAACCGTATCAGCACGCCCAGGAGAGAGTTGTTTAGGTCAGGGCCTGTGAGCAGCACTGAGTTGAGGGAGACACCATGCTGTTGGGCGCTTGAGTCAAACACGACTCGTATCTGCCCTGGCTTTTGAGGATGGTACACCCCGAAGATGGGCAGGTACCAGCATTCCTGTTTCTCTTGGATGGGCGGTGCCCTCTCTGCATGCTTGTTCTCGAACAGCTTTTCCATGAAGGAGGAGAATTGCTGCTTCATCTCAGCATTCTTGTTCAGCGTGCGTCTCAAAGAACTGAGGCGGGACAGAGCTTGCTCTCTGTTGTTGGGGAGCGGCGGACGAGGAGACTTGAATGGCAACGGAGCTACCCAGTTATTCTCTTTATCCTGATGGACTTCCTTTTCCATAATGTTCAAAAACAGTTCATCTTCAAAGGACATGGCACTCTTATTGTCATTGTCTGTTCTCTGGAAGACTGTGAGCCCGAGCTGTTCTTCGGCTGGCTTAGGCTTTGTCATGTGTGCAGAGTGGCCATACCTGTGCTCCCCGCCGTAGCTCAGTCTCTCTTTCACGCAGATGCTATTGTGGCAAGGAGTGAGGAGTGACGGACGTCCATTCTGGAGAATGTGGGTTCTGAAGGTGTTCACGATTGGCTTGTGAGCGTTGTCAAGACACACTTCGCCTATTATCACCCAGCCTAAATCTAGACGCTGGGCAAAGGGCGCGTCGTGGGGCCCGTTGACTTGCTCTCTCACCTTGTGCACACGTATCATGTCTCTCCCTAGCAAGATCATCATCTGGGCATCAGGATCCAGCTTGGGAATGTGCGGAGCGATGTGTCTGAGGTGAGGGTGTGCGAGGGCGACCTCTGGTGTCGGGATTTCAGACTTGTTGGTCAATATTTCGTTGCACTCAATGAGTGGTGGGAGATCAAGGCACACACCTCCATTCACTGCTTCGATTTGAAAGCCAACTGCTTTTCTTCCGGTCATCTCAGTCGTGCCGGCGCATGTTCTCATCAGATATGGTGACAGGCTGCTGTTGACCCCAAACAGCTGGAAAAATTCAGAGCGTGCCAAGGAGCGGTTACTTTGATCGTCGAGTATGACATATATCTTGATGCCGAGCTCTGGTTGACCTTGAGGGAAGACGCGTGTCAGGCATACCTTTGAGCAGGAGCGCGGGAGACTGCTTAGGCCGCAGACCTTGGTGCACTGCGATCTCACTTCCAGGGCAGAACTGGCTGGCTGTGCTTCTGCACCTGGTTGGGCAGACGACGGAGGCGGTGGCTGAGAGGTGTCGGGATGCATTGCAGAGCAGTGTCTTTCGCTCTCACACTCACCGCATTTCAGTGTCGTCTGGCAGTCCTTGGCGAGGTGGTTTGGTGCACAGCATTTATAACAGCGTTTATGTTCTTTAAGAATGTCTTTGCGTTCTTGCAATGTTTTCATTCTGAATGACCTACATTTTTCTAATGGATGTGTTTTCTTGTGCACAGGGCAATATCGAGCTGGATCAATGTCTTTCCTTTCAATGTCTGTGGCGCTTGTGGTGTCTGCGTCAACGGTGGCAGACACGTCTGTCTTGTGTACAGATACAGCAGTCTTGAAACCACTTTGCTTTAATGGAGTTCTCTCACCTTTGCTGTATGCCTGGCTGTTGCTTGACAGGGCGAAACTTGGGTCATTGCGGGCTTTAGCCTGGATGTTGATGAAGTCCACGAAGAACGAAAAGGGAGGAAAAGTTACTCTGTGCTGCTCCTTGAAGCGGGAGCCCGTGTTGAGCCATTTTTCCTGCAGGCCAGGGGGCAACTTCTCGACTATGGGCTTTATCCCACGAGGAGTATCGAGGTAGGCCAGCCCGGGGAGGTAACCGTCGTCCTTAGCTGCCAGCAGCTCCATAAGGAGATCACTGAGCTCTCTCAGTTTCACATTGTCTTTGGCAGACAGACGGGGAAAGCTATCTAGTCTTTTGAACAGGGCGTTCTCTACCATCTCTGGCGTGCCGTAGCATTCCTGCAGTCTCTGCCAGGACAGATGGAGGGCAGCCCTGGGGTTAGTGACATGAACAGCGCGAATCCTTTTCACATGCTCTGATGACTCTTTACCCAGCCACTTCATGAGGAGGTCTAACTCTTCACTATAGGAGAGCCCTAAGCCCTGTGTTGCATTGAAGAATGACGACTGCCATGCTCTGAAGTTCTCTGGTGAGTCGTCGAACTTGGTAAGGCCAGTGGTCACTAATTCTCTGCGCGCTAGGAACTTGGCGAAGTCTATCATGGGTGGGGAGTCGGGGCGAAGAGGAGGAGGCTGATCATGTTGTCTGTGCGGACTGTGTGACGGTCTTGGTGCGGGGGATTGTTCAGCTGCATGTACGGGCTCATGTGCTGAGGGTCTGAAGTCTATGAGTGGGGGCTTTACCTCTACAGTTCCAGGTGCTGACTGACATGGAGGACTGTTCACCGTGTGCTGCATTTCATGGTGATGCGGTAAGGCAGGAGACTGTACGCTAACCTGTGACTGGCATAGCACATACTCTTCAGTGCGCTGTCGTATCACTTGTGGCGAAACCACACTTCTTAGGCTTTGTACATCGTCATTCCCCATAGCTACAGCTGCTTCTAAGACTTCAGCTTCGACCCGCGCTGCCTCTGCTTCCCTTTCATATGCCAACGCCTCCAAATCTGCTTCTAATGCAGCCTTTTGTAAATCTAGCTTAGCTCTCTCCTTTTTCATTTCTAACTGTCGCTTAGCATAAGATGCCTTGGTGAGCGCTGCTTCAGCTGTAGCCCTTGCTTTGGCGGCAGCCTCCATGACAGAAGATCTTGAAGAGGACGAGCGTTTTGAGCTGGCTCTTGAGTGAACCGAAGGCTTTGGAGACGATGAACGTGGTGGCGGGCTTGCATCATGCTTCATTTCATCTGTGGTTTTGGATTCTGACGCCATGCTGGAGTTCTTGTGCTATCCGTTGCACCCACGCTGGTTGTCTTTTTACTGTACTGTTCCTATCTGTGTGTAAGCTACGTGCGTGAACACAGACTCCACAGCAAGCCAAACTCGTTTTCTACGAGCCAGGAAGCGAGCGCCTTGCTCCTTTATTTTCCAGTATAGCAGGTGAAAATCGTGTAAAACTGAAATAAACAAAATACAGACGAAACTTAGGAGCCTGACATTACCGTATTACACAAGCAACAGTCAAGTTAGCCTATAACTAAAGTGACTAGCAAGTATCGCTTAGCTTATTAGCAAGGAAACGAACGTTAGCAAAGTAACGTGGTCACTAATACACATTCGAGTAAACGTTACCAACTATGCTCATAAAGCTTAACTTCATACAAGTACAAAATGCATATCATTATAACTTACAGACATTGCTGCCATGGGTGTGTGAGCGAAACAAGACTCGGGAAAGAAACATCCGACTGGAACTCATTACAAACAGCAACTAACGTGCATCTTACGTTCTGGTAAGTTCATCATGGACCGGAGGCTCATGGGATCGCTCAGATGTAAACAAAAACTCATGCCAAAATAAAGGCTCACCTTTACAGTACAAAATACTCATCTCTTTTCTTTTGCCATTAACAGAATGTTATCAAAGAATCATTTGTACCAAAAACAATTTGAATACATATTTCCTTTTCTTTTACTTTTAACCTGAGGACAGAACAGTCACAATAACAACAAATGAGAAACAAACAGAATTATAAACTTGACCAAAAAAAAGGATTAGGCGGAAGCACAATTCTTATAGTTGCCTATCCTTTACAATCCTTATAACATCATTTTAATATTTAAAACAGTTGATAATGTTGAAATAAGATAAAAAAAAGAAAGACACTTTAATATTAAAAAGAAAACATTAAAATAATATGTTGCACTACGAAAGGAAAAAAAAATCATAAAGAATGAAAGAAAATGTCTTACTCAAAGCTGTATGTACTCCTGAATTATTTTGCTTTTTAATGCTTTTTTAAATATTACCTGAGTTACACAATTTTAACCCATCGTTAAGGTTATTCCATTGCTTAACTCCCCAAACTGAAATACATCTAGCTTTCACATTTGTTCTTGCTTTTTTATCTGTTTTAAAAATATAAACCCCTCTTAAATTGTACCGTCCTTCTCTTGTTTCAGTATTTACATAGCTCTCATTAAGGTAGATTCTCCCTCAGTTATGATCATTAATTTTTTATTGTAGATCATTAAACTGTTGTGCCATTTAAAGCAGTACACGGCATCTATTGATGTCCATTAGTGTAAAAAGAAAGTAAATGGCAATTGTTACATTCTGACCTTTCTCCTATTTATTGGGCTTTGTATTCTATCAATAACACAAAGAGAACAGTGGGCAGTAATTATTGGCTTATCGGGCGTAGTATACACAAGTCATTTAGCCTTGCTGTTATGCTGCTTGCTTATCTCATGATTCAGGTTTAAGGGGGCAAAACACAAGGATGTGCTAAGACAATTGCTGCTTTAATACCTGTCAATTTAGAAACATTGTGGACTGGATTGCTGTTCTGCTTATAATTAGTGTTTAAAGCATTCATATTCACAGGAGCAATTAATGTGAGATCTTCGGGTGTCATTGATTGCAAACAAAAGCAGGCAGAATGTTGAACTAATTGGAAGAATTTATCATTTGTATTTAAAGCCTCATCCTCATTCAATTAAAGGCCACCTTTGCTACATCAAACTTTATAAACTGAAGGAAAATAGCCGCCACTGTAAGCCCGAAAGAGGTTCATATGGGGCTGGCCATTATTGTTCATCATAAAGGAGGGTCTTCAGGTGTGTTTGAGTCTTTTGTACATTGTACTATGAGCTGTGTTTGAGTAGTACATTAACTACTCAAACACTGTAGCAAAAAAGGAACTTTCCCTCTCAGCATTCTGTTTATTTATTTATTTATTTATTTTAAGGTCCTTTGAAGAATTTTGATGTTATGAAACAGACTGAAATAAAGTGTATGTGATTGTATCATGTTCAAAAGCAAAGGAGACCATTAGTGACAAAACTGACAAGTTATATGTTTCAATTCAATGCCTTTAACTGTTGTGAGGGGGTGGGTACATTGATGAAATAGCCTTTGTCATTTTTCCCACAATAAACAGTCACGGGGAGTGATAAAAGTGACTTTAAAGAGACAAAAGGAGGAGGGGCTTTTGTCATATAACTACATATATACTTTCACAAAGAGAGAAAATCAGTCATGATATAAAAGCTGTCACTTTTTTCATAGGGGGCTCCAATGTAAACAGAGAAAATTGCTATCTAAAGCTTTATGTTTTATAAACTGTTATAGACTGAATCAATTTGGATGTATTTTTTTTATTGTTCTGAATGTCTTGCACTACCACTGTAGTAGTTTGCAGGCAACCCTGTTGGAAGGTACAACTGAAAAAGGAATAAAGATTAAATGCTACACATTTTTACAATAACTTTAGGACTGCATTGAAAGTCGTACTCACTGTTGGTTCCCTTTGCAAGGTTAAAGCACATAAAGCACGTAAGCTCATAAAGGATGTGGAATCAGTGTGTGAATATGCCAAAACCATGTCGGACTCTGTAGTTTTCTCTGGTCCCCTGCCTGATCAGACAACCGATGAGATGTGTAGCCATATCTCATCATTCAACCGCTGGCTGTCGAGGTGGTGTCTGCAAAATGGCGTGGGCTTCATTGATTATTGGAAGTCGTTTTGGGGCAAGCCTGGTCTGATTAGTCGAGTCAGCATTCATCCCACTCGAGATGGAGCGGCCCGTTTATCCAGAAATCTGGCCGATTTTATTAGTCTGAACCACTATCAATTCAGAGCAGAGATCAGGGAGCAGAGCCACAGTCCTACGCGCCCCTCTGTGCCTCCTTTAGAGCAGCTTCCCAGCCACTATCACTTTTATACAGAGACTAGGGAGCAGAGCCGCAGTCTTACATGCTCCTCTGCACTACCTTCGGAGATGCTTCCTAGCTACAATCAGTTTGATATAGAGATCAGGAAGCAGAGCCGCAGTCCTACACTCCCCTCTGTACTCCCTTTCACAGCAGCTTCTTAGCTACAATCAGTTTGATATAGAGATCAGGGAGCATAGCCGCAGTCCTACACGCTCCTCTGCACTTTTGTTAGAGCAGCCTCCTAGCTACTATCACTTTAATATAGAGACTGTGTCTGTGTCTGTCCCTCGTCCTCAGCTCTTTAATTCTAACTGATCGATTAACAAAGGAGTAAATAACAAGAACCTTACTAGAATTAAAACTGCTAACATAGCTGGACCAATTAGTAGTAAGATAAAATGTGGTCTACTGAACATAAGGTCTCTAAGTTCCAAATCTGTGTTATTATTGAACCAATCTCAAATCATCACATTGATTTACTCTCCCTGACTGAAACTTGGCTGCGTCAGGATGAATATGTCAGTTGAAATCAGTGGTTCTCAAGTCCAGTCCTCAAGGCCCACTGTCCTGCACGTTTTGGATGTTTCCCTGCTCCAACACACCTGATTCAAATGATCAGCTCGTTATCAAGCTCTGTAATGGCTTAATAACAAGCTAATCATTTGAATCAGGTGTGTTGGAGCAGGAAAACATCCAAAACATGCAGGACAGTGGGCCTCGAGGACTGGAATTGCAAACCACTGGTTTAAATGAATCCACTCCTCCTAGCCACCTAAACTTTCACATTCCTCGGGACTCTGGCCAAGGTGGTAGAGTTGCAGCTATTTACAATTCCAGTTTTCAAATTAACCCAAGACCAAAACTGGATTATAACTCCTTTGAAAGTCTTGTTCTCAGTTTTCCGCATCCAGCCTCAAAGACCATGAGACCACTGGTATTTGCTATGGTTTATCTCCCTGCCAGCCCGTACTCTGAGTTTTTGTCAGAATTCTCAGAGTTTTTATCTGATCTAGTCCTTAGTGCAGACAAAGTCATGTGGATGTGGAAAATGATAGCCTAAGCATTGCTTTCTTGTCCTTGTAAGACTCAGTCGGGTTTACAGTGTGCACATGGACCTATGCACTGCTTTAACCACACCCTCGATCTTGTCCTGGCTTATGGCCTTGAAGCTGAAGCCTTGTCAGTCAGCTCATTAAATCCTCTTTTATCGGATCACTTCCGAGTAACTTTTGAATTTGTGCTTTCAGGCTACTCTCTTCTGCTCTTAATTCTGTGCTTGAGAAGAACTTTATTGATAGCTCATACTTCAACATCAGTCCCTTGCAACTTGATCAGTTTGTTGATGATACCTCAGGTATATTGCAATCAATTCTTGACTCAGTTGCTCCTCTTCGACAGAAAACTCTTACACGCGAGAGGCTGGCTCTGTGGTATAATGCTGAAACCCGTGAGCTGAAACAGTTATTGAGAAGACCAGAAAGGATTTGGCGCTCTTCCAAAACAGCTGAAGCTCGTTTTCTCTGGCAGGAATGTCTTGATAAATATAAGAAGGCCTTACGACGTGCTCGGACAATTTACTACTCGTCTCTGATTGAAGAAAATAAGAATAACCCCAAGCATCTCTTCAACACTGTAGCCAGGCTGAAGGACTGCCAGAGCACCGTTGAACCGCGTATCCCATTAGCTCTCAGCAGCGACGACTTCTTGAGCTTCTTCAATGAAAAAATCTTAAAAATAAGATAACCAATAACTTTCTGATGCTCAACTCAGACAAAACTGAAGTTCTTGTCCTCGGTCCTAAACACCTTAGAGGGGCATTCTCTAAAAATATAGCTACGCAAGATGGCATCAGTCTGGCATCCAGCCACACTGTATGAAATCTGGGAGTTTTATTTGATCGGGATCTGTCCTTTAGCTGCCATATTCAACAAATCTCAAGGATCGCTTTTTTTCCACCTGCGCAATATCTCAAAAAATAGACCCATCCTGTCTCAGAGTGATGCAGAAAAACAAGTCCATGCTTTTGTTACCTCTAGGCTGGATTACTGTAGTT